CAGTGCTTGACATCATGAGCATCGATCGACGAAATTGGGATACGATGACATGCATCAGCCAAGTCAGCGAGCCTGACGTAATAAATATTCAAAACCTAAAGTACACATCGTTAATATTCTACTCGACATTTGATAGGGATACTCGGGTATGTCATACTGTTAGGAATGTAGAAGAGATCAGTGTACTGAATTTACTTAAAACGAATCTGCACTTGTTGAAGTTCCTTGGCATTACTGAATACTATTCGCATGACAACATCTATCAGACCCGCGATGATCCGGGGTAGAATAGGTCTTCAGCAACCCATGCTTGCCGTAAGAGGCGACTTGTCGTAAGAGGCTCGCTGACTTGGTTGATGCATGTTATCGTATCCAAATTGCGTCGATGGATGCTTCATGATGACAATTATTTACAGACCGCCGTCGTACAGCTGGAATATTGCTGTGCGGCGTTAAACAACAAACAAACAACATATTTCAGCAAACAGTAATATTCAATCTAAACCTGGACAGCATATCCTTATCAAAAGTTGAGTAGCATAACAAATAAAAATACTATTGAAATACAAGAGACTACTAACTCGGTGAACCTATAACTAGTCTGTATTATGACAACGACGTTTATCCATGGGCGTTACTGTAGATTATTACAATATCCGTATTGCCAGTCACAAGTCACCAGCGCGACAGTAATCCCATCGGCGTTCGTTCACACCTGGCTTGACGAATACATTTTATATTCTTTGATGTCATTCCAAGGCCTTAAGACTTACGCCTCATCAACGGGGAACAGTGGCATGTAGAGGTGTGGGAGTCCTGGACACACGCTTGTAATCAAACCTCAGGCAATAAGAAGTATTATATACTGAGCTACTATACATGGAACATAAAAAAAGAGCCTTTGTTGAAATACATCTGCTTGTCATATGCCGTAAGGTCACGCTGGTTTCATTCCAACACTGTCGGGGTGGTCGGGTAGCCTAGTGGTTAAAGCGTTCGCTCGTGACGCCAAAGGCCCGGTTTCGATTCCCGACATAAGTATACAATGTGTGACGCCCATTTCTGGTGTCCCCTGCCGTGCTGGAATATTGCTAAAGGCGGCGTAAAGCCATACACACTCACTCACTCACTCACTCAAACACTGTCAGTTTCACATGTTTCTCTTAAATACTACGACGTACTAATCTAAAGCTGGTCACAATTAGTTTCGATTTCAGTGTGACATTTCAGTATTGCATTCTTTACGTTTGAGGGGAATCTAAACTCCTTGGGAATCAGTCACAGATCATTACATCTTATGTACATGGCAGCTCCTTAAGTTTCTGATATATTTGCACAAAGTTCCAGTGGTAGAAACTAACATTTTTAATCCAGTAGTTCTCATAACGATAACATATAGCAAAACCCTTAAAAATGGCCTCATGATACCTAACTATTGGGCAGTTTGGCAAGGACGTAACGCTGAGTTCATTTGTGAGACACTGGCCTGATAATACTGAAACTAATCCTTATTTTGGCGTAATTAAAGTTTAACTTAAGTAGTGTTATGTGTTATGACTAACAGATGTTTGGCGTACGTAAAGTATGAATAATGTCTGTTTGACGCATGTAAGGTGCGGCTAACTCCTTGTTTGGCGCAAATTAAGTATGCGTATACCTTTTTGATGTAAGTATGCCTCACGGCTGTTTGACGTTAGTAAAGTATATCCCAACGCCTGTTAAACGTAAGTATGACCAAAGCCTGTTTGACGTAAGTAAAGTATGACAAAAGCATGTTTGACGTCAGTGAGTATGACCAAGACCTGGTTTGACGTACATAAGTTTGGTGCAAGTTAAGTATGACTGTACCTGTTTAATGTAAGTATGCCTGACGCCTTGACGTTAGTAAAGTATCCCCAAATCCATGTTAGACGTCAGTAAGTATGACTAACGCCTGTTTGAAGTAAGTAAGTATGACTACGGCATGTTTGGCGCATGCTAAGTATGACTATACCAGTTTAATGTAAGTATTGCTAGCGCCTGTTTGACGCAAGTAAAGCAACGCCTACATGTAAGACGTAAGTATGACTAACGCATAACTGACGTAAGTAAGTATGAGCAACGTCAGTGTGACGTAAGTAAAGGACGTGTAACGCTTGTTTGACGTAAGTAAGTATGCGCAACGTCAGTTTGACGTAAGTAAAGTATGTCTAATGTCTGGCATACGTAGATTATGTCTTACCCCGTTTAGTACCAAACAAATGTATGCCCACATACCTTTGTAAGAGCATGCAGGTCAAGTAGGCCTGACGCCGGTTTATCAGAGAAACAAATGACGTGTTCACAATAGACCAGAGAGAGAAAGTTGTTTTCTTTATTTGCAGCAGTTACGTAATCTTGTCATCCCCAAATTACGTAGTCATTCAATTACAGGGTGGTGTCCCGAAAAGCCGACTACTTTGACAACATGGTCTGAAATATTCAAGTGCCTGTCGACCATCGGACGTGATGACTATATTTCTCACGACACCACTGTCGGCTTACATTACCGTTGAAGTGGTGTTATATTGTCATGGACACACACATTGGACACTCAATTATTACACATGCATGGCAGTTTTCATAGATATTATCTATGTACGCAGACTAACAAGAAATCTTCCCGTGAAGATCCGGGTTAGAATTGGTCTTCAACAGCCCATGCTTGTGGTAAGAGCCGAATGACGGAATCGGGTGGTCAACTCGCTGACTTGGTTGATGTATATGAGCAAACCCCATTGTCAATCTCATGATGTCAAGCACTGGATTGTCTGGTCCAGACTTGATTAATTACAGACCGCCGTCATATATCTGGAATATTGCTGAGTGCCGCGTTAAACAACAAACAAACAAACAAACAAACACTCGCCATAGACCGTACAATTTGGTGTTGAAGGACCAACAGATAAAAAATCATCATGAAATCGTTTTTCTTCGTTTCTGAAACCTTGGAACGATAACGACTTCAAACTATCGGCGTGTTGTCGTTATATACCAGTCGGTGTGTCGTGCTAGAGCCGACCAATGAGGATAGGATGGACATGGTGTGACCTTGCTGATTGTGTGACCCGGTTATTGCACGTTGCTCATGCTATCAACCGCTGGGTTTGGTGTTCAAGACTCGATGATTTACAGCTGACGTGATAAAGCTTAACATTTGCAGAGTGTGACGTAAATCAACATTCCGTCACGAACAAACACACAACGACTCAGAGACATTCCGTCAAGAACAAACACACATTGGTGCAGAGACCGTGAGATGAATTAACCAACCATCACCTACATTAACACTGTCATTTAATCAATTCACAAACCCCTGCATACATCTACCAAGCGACTTCGGACCATACAACGCCACTGTAAGCAGCTCCCGATGTCATATTCATGATGTGCCGTACTCGTACTACTGGGATGTGCAGATTTGCTCCTGGAATCGAACATCTGCTAATTGTAATTGATAACGCGTGTTTTGAATAATATCCGCGAGGTGTCGTTTACAAGTGAAGTCAATAAATCAATTCAGTAAATATGTACTTGTGCTGTTGTTTACAGGGATAGACACAGCCACAACTGCGTTAGCCCGAGACTACTGAACAGCTATAGGCCAGTTGTTTCATCCCAGAATTTAGTTATTTTACATAAACCACTAGTCCGAATGAAATGTGGACTGGTTATATGACCAATCGTGTCTATCCCTGGTTTATCACGCTCTGCACAAAACAGGTGCGCCATTAATGGTAGGATAAAAGCATTTTTGTACGTCATTCTTGTCTTGGGCGGTATACCAATAAACATGCCGCTCAGTGATGTATTATAAATATCCTCATGATTCCTGGTTCTACGAAATCTTATCGTATTACCGTTACATCCTAAATGTTTGCGTCTTCGTCTAAGCTTTGTTAGACGTACACACGTGCTTCTCTCCGGTAACAAGTCTCAAGGATGGCACAATGATAAAGCAGGCCTTTGGTAGGGACCGACCATTTGATATATTGAGACCAGATATATTTTTTTTAAAATCGGCTGCAAAACTAGCTATATATTTTTCTATAAAACACATTGCATAAAACAACGTAATTATTGTGGTGACAGACAGAGAATGTCGTTTTCTCCCAACAATATGAAGCATCATTATTATCTTATAAGAATTTAGGGTACAATATATTTTTTTCGATAAAATCCCAGCCACAACCCCCTTCCCCCATGACTATCAAATGGTCGGTCCCTCAAAGCCCTCTCTTTTATTTAATAAAATGCAAGGGTAGTTTGATTAATTCCAAAACGAGCATTGGTATGTGTTTAATGAGTGTGACTGCTAATTGGTTTAAAAAAAAAAAAATTAACAAACCGTAATTGCGCCTGAGTGTGACGCAAATACATATATACGAAGAAACGAATTAGGAGTCTGGAAATACATTTTGAAAACCTCTTATTCTATAGGGCGTATGTTATTCCATACCTGTGGTGGGTCTTTCAGACACGCAAGTACAATGGTTCTACGTATCCCATGCTTCTCTATTTTGATGCCAATCTTATCACTTGTATTGATTTTTCCTCACACATGACAAATATCTCTTAATTATCTTTACACAAATAAACGAAAACATCTTGTCTCTCTGGAGACCATCTTTTTTTTAAATCCATACCATCGGAACAAATTGAACTATCATACTACATGCCAATATTACAGTTGCAATAAAAATAACCTAGAACTGATTACAAAGTTGCGTCGGCGCAACGATCTCAACTTTACCTCCATTTCTGAAGAAAATGAGTTGCATATAATATTGCTAATCCTCGTGGATGTATTTATAAATATATGATTAGCTGACAGATGTTTACACTTTTGGTAAAAACCAAACATATCCAGGAGAAACCTGGGTTTGGACCAGAAGATCCTGGAACCCTAGACCTTATGGCCACCCTTGCCTCACCTGAAGATCTTGAAGCATAATTGTTAATGATCTGAAACATTCACATACCTGTCGACCATCCAGCGTAAATATTTTCCTGACGGCACCACTGTCGAGTTTGATTGCTTCTGTTATGTCCGTAAGAACCTGGTCGAACGAGTGTGCTGTCTTTTTATTCAGTAGTATTCTCACTGCCTTGCGTGGTTTACTTCCATTCCGTATAATTGTAACCAACTTTGGCTTTAGGGTGAAACCTTTGTTTTCATTCTCGTACGTGTCCTTGGCAACCGAGGCGCCACCATCTTGTGAGTCAGCACCGCGAGATTTGTTGTTATAATTCCAGTTTGGGGACGAACTTGTTGTGTATTCTAAATTCTTGAACACGTCTGTAGAAGCACAGACGTAACTCTCACCTTCGTGGAGTTCATACAAGTTTGTTATTTTCTTAGACCCATCCATGGTAAACATGTGTCGGACACCATTTGGAAGCACCACTTTGTCACACAGCGGGCTAAGGGTTAACTCTGCCATGAGGGACTCAAAAGTCCTGAATCTTTCAGGTGATACAGCATAGATCATGCCTTTAAAGAATCTGTCCCCATTTCTATAAAATCTCACTTTCTTGGCGCGTTTTTCCTCCGACATTCGAAGGATGCTGTGCCTGATGAGCGACCCATGGTCACTGTGGCTTGTCGGACTGCGTGCGCGTCCAGAGCGCGTGCTTTGACGGCTAGCTCTGGCGTCTTGCCGGCTGTAAGCGAAGTGTTCATCGTAGTCTCCCATCATATATACTGGAGAACAGAGAAAACGATGTATTCATATGAATTCCAGAAATATATTCTGGGGTTACATAACACGATGTGACATTATGAATGTTTATTAATAATGGGGAGAATACTAAAGTAATAATTGGGAAAAAACTAAACTACATTATAATCTGTACGTCGTTATGGTTGGAACTTTCACCATCTCTAACAGAATAATCCTGTTTTTTTAATTGTAAAACACCTCTCCAATCTCTGCCACAAACCTGCCGTAAATCTTTGGCTATTATAACAACTTAAACAATACCGTTAAACACGTTTTTATGTTCCGAGGCCCATGCTTAAGAGGCACTTATCCTGTCGTGGATAATTTCGGGACTTCGACAGAACACTTTCCAATGCCACATGGTCTAGGACTTATTGAACAATATCGGCCGTACGGCTGGGGAGATATTGAGCCTTAAGCTCCATATCGCTTGAGGTAGATTTATAGGCTCTCGAAATTTCAGGTACAATGCTTCACTGATATGGCAAATGAATTTAAATGGGTGATCATATTTGACTTAGGATTTTAGACTTAGTTACTGGTATTGAGAGGATGTTGAACACAATCTGAAATATCGCTACCTCTTTACAGTGAGGTCATTTCATACAAAACACTTCCATGGTGCTTTAAACTTCCTGTAATATGGGTAACAACATTAGGGCTAACAATTTCTGTTACTTGTATCTTGAAAAAACACAGATGTGGATTGGGCTTTTAAACGGGGGTGGTTAGTGTCTGTTACCTTTAACACGACCCGAACAAGAACATATAATGGAATGGCATAAGATAACAAGGGGTTTGAAAGGTGATAACCAGTAATATAGCCTGCATGACGAACAGGGTAAAATGTCCTTCTTGGTTCAACACCAAAACTAAGTTCGGACGGGAAACCTAATCACAACGCTTTTTACATCTTTCTCACATACGGTTGGGACAAAATCAATACATTGCCATCCAGCGTAATTTTTTTAAATTCAAATTATAAACACTAAAGCCGTTTTTTTACATGCTAATTATTGCTGTACGTTGAACACTATAGAGCTGGCAGTAAACAAATGTCAAAGTATCCCGCCACTTTATTCAGATCGACAGCGTCCATCTGGTGACGGTACCAAGCAGAGACAAGCCCCATTTATACCATGGCCTGTGGCAAGTTTCATTGATTTCGTGGTTGAAGCGAAACAACAGGAACGATAATACAATATTTACTTACAGTTTAATGCTAACCTTTGCTGCTAGATAGCCAAAATGTAATGTAAACGAAGATACATTGAATCCAGTGACAGTTGGGTCCAAGTAAGGAGTGCGCCAAGTACTATTTCACCCTACTAGGTTGATAACAATACTCATACCATGGGTGACCAGTTCTGCTCTCATATCCCACTCCTTTAGCTGGGGGTTGTCTATGAAGTAATTCCGTGACTCAAGTCTTATTCACCGCTGCTAATCTATAATCTAGATGTACTTGTTATGATCGATCTATCGTTTCTATCAAGGGTGGTTCATATCACCGACACTTCGACTCGATTACGCAAGTTAAATAGTAGGATTTCGGTTTCTAAACGGCATTTAAACAGAAAAAGCACCGGTTGTCTATAGATCTATATCACCAACATATCCTATGAACATATATGTTTACTTTTGTCAATGCGTAGCCATTCAAAATATAAAATAGTATATAAGTAGTGTAGACAATATCCACAAAGAAATGTTCATTTAAAAAATCGGGGTAAATATGGTTGACAGGGATGAAAAAGTACACGATACCTTAAAAGACGTTTACCTCATTTACTTAAGTCGGGAACAATTGACATATGAATGCACAAAATGTGTCTGCGTGTGTGTTTTTATCTGTCCAGCCAATAGTGGGTGTTATCTTTGAAGCGTTCTACAAAAAATGTGCCTTTGCTGATTGAAATGGATATGACGTGTACTTGTGTGTTGTACAATAACACAGACAAGTCATTATCAGCGGTGTATAAACATAATCACACGCCGACAGTCGGAATTCCCTCGACTTGGAAAACAACGATAATCCACCTGATAAATTAGATTCATTCTCAACAAAGAAAATTCGATGAAAATAAAGGGTGGCATGTACAGACAATGTCGTCATAAGCATACACGTTACAATCTGAATAAATTTAAATATATATGTATGGGGTGTCGTTCAGATCCATGGGAATACCCAATGGCGACAGGGGTTATGGATAGTGTATACAAACAATATGAGGACCATATTCGGTCTCGCTTACCTGAAAACCCCACACGCTGTCTCTATCCTCGCCGGCAGTCTGCGAGTTGCACAGACAAATCCGCCCCTCACACGATCAATACAAGCCACGGTTCTTCATAATTTATGATTCCCGTAGCAGACGACATGCCGTAATACCTGCAGAGCAGACGATCGGTTGGTATGAGTGATAACAACACACGACCTCGTTCTGGAGCCACACGAACCGCTTGTAAGTGTCACGCATTGGACATGCAATGGACGATACCATTACGGTATGGGGTGAAAGCTGGTGGAAATTTCTTAGTGCATATTTGTTAATAACACCCTAACTCCACTTAGCTTTGGCCGTGAGATACCAGATCGTATCAGCAGGTTTGGGACAGATTTAGTTGCTGTCGATTCTTAAGCCCTCTAAATAAGATTAGTAAACAGAACGGGCCTGGTTTAGTTACGCCATTGAAGCGTGAATGGTATTGTCCCGGTAAGTTTCGGGTGTGGGATTTCCCAGCACCATGTGGTGTTTACGGGTATGACAATCAATCAGCATGTTTGACACAGATACGAATTTCATGGTTTGTTTCCATCCATGCTGATCTCATTTTAAATGACAACGGTTGTGAGGAGACACGGGGTTCAACGTCGCGTTCAAGATTATTTTATTTAACTTTTATAGCCACGGACTTGTACGTAATTGTGTTGCAGCTTGTACTAGCCCCGATTAATGCTGGTTTTATAGTGTTAGCCCACTGAGATACCATGTTGCAGTTTCATATGGATTCCCCATTCAGACACAGTATACGGACTCCAAGCCGACCCGACAAGTCCTTATTATACCCTTAATGCCGAGCGCCAGGCAGGGTAACAATAAATACAATCCTTTAACGTCCTTTGGTCGCGGATCGAACCGACGACTTTCCGCTCTCTGGGCACACGCCAGATGAGAATGGACTGCACTGTACGTACTAAAAGAAAATGTTTTAAGATTGAGTTAAACGTAAAGTGGCATAACCAGTGATTCATCCATTTGGCTTAGAGGAGGAGGATCTTAAGAGAATGTCCAGTATGTATTTTAAGGTAGTGTTGTTTCTAGTGTGTGTTGTTACGTAGTGTGGTGTCTAATGTGTATTGTAACGTATTGCGGTGTCCAAAGTGTATTGTAACGAAGTGTGGTGTCCAGTGTGTGTATTGTAACGTAGTGTGGTGTCCAAACTGTATTGTAACGTAGTGTTGTGTCCAGTGTGTGTATTGTAACGTAGTGTGGTGTCCAACGTGTATTGTAACGTAGTGTTGTGTCCAGTGTGTGTATTGTAACGTAGTGTGGTGTCCAGTGTGTGTATTGTAACGTAGTGTGGTGTCCAACGTGTATTGTAACGTAGTGTTGTGTCCAGTGTGTGTATTGTAACGCAGTGTGGTGTCCAAAGTGTATTGTAACGAAGTGAGTGAGTGAGTGAGTATGGTTTTACGCCGCTTTTAGCAATATTCCAGCAATATCACGGCGGGGGACACCAGAAATGGGCTTCACACATTGTACCCATATCGGGAATTGAACCCGGGTCTTCGGCGTGACGAGCGAACGCTTTAACCACCAGGCTACCCGACCGCCCCTGTAACGTAGTGTGGTGTGCAGTGTGTGTGTTGTAACGTAGTGTTATGTCCAGTGTGTATTGTAACGTAGTGTGGTGTCCAAAGTGTTTTGTAACGAAGTGTGGTGTCCAAAGTGTATTGTAACGTCGTGTGGTGTCCAGTGTGTATTGAACCAAAGTGTGATGTCTAGTGTGTATTGTAACGTAGTGTGGTGTCCAAAGTGTATCGTAACGTAGTTTGGTGTGCAATAGGTGTATTGTAACGTAGTGTGGTGTGCAGTGTGTGTATTGTAACGTAGTGTGGTGTTCAGTGTGTATTGTTACGCAATGTGGTGTGCAGTGTTAGTATTGTAACGTAGTGTGGTGTGCAGTGTGTGTATTGTAACGTAGTATGGTGTTCAGTGTGTATTGTAACGCAGGTTGGTGTCCAGTGTGTATTGTAACGTAGTGTGGTGTGCAGTGTGTGTATTGTAACGCAGTGTGGTGTCCAGTGTGTATTGTAACGCAGAGTGGTGTCCAGTGTGTATTGTAACGTAGTGTGGTGTGCAGTGTGTGTATTGTAACGCAGTGTGGTGTGCTGTGTGTGTATTGTAACGCAGTGTGGTGTCCAGTGTGTATAGTAACGTAGTGTGGTGTGCAGTGTGTGTATTGTAACGAAATGCGGTGTCCAGTGTGTGTATTGTAACGCAGTGTGGTGTCCAGTGTGTGTATTGTAACGTAGTGTGGTGTGGAGTGTGTGTATTGTAACGTAGTGTGGTGTCCAGTGTGTGTATTGTAACGTAGTGCGGTGTGCAGTGTGTGTATTATAACGTAGTGTGGTGTCCAGTGTGTGTATTGTAACGTAGTGTGGTGTGCAGTGTGTGTATTGTAACGTAGTGTGGTGTGCAGTGTGTGTATTGTAACGTAGTATGGTGTGCAGTGTGTGTATTGTAACGTAGTGTGGTGTCCAGTGTGTATTGTAACGTAGTGTGGTGTGCAGTGTGTATTGTTACGTAGTGTGGTGTGCAGTGTGTATTGTTACGTAGTGTGGTGTGCAGTGTGTATTGTAACGTAGTCTGGTGTCCAGTGTGTGTATTGTAACGTAGTGTGGTATTCAGTGTGTGTATTGTAACGTAGTGTGGTGTCCAGTGTGTATTGTAACACAGTTAGATGTCTAGTGTGTGTTGTAACGTAGTGCAGTGTCCAGTGTGTGTATTGTAACGTAGTGTGGTGTCCAGTGTGTATTGTAACACAGTGTGATGTCTAGTGGGTGTTGTAACGTAGTGTGGTGTCCAGTGTGTATTGAAACGTCATGGTGTGTCCAGTGTGTATTGAAACGTAGTGTGGTGTGCAGTGTGTGTATTGTAAGGCAGTGTGGTGTCCAGTGTGTATTGTAACGTAGTGTGGTGTGCAGTGTGTGTATTGTAACGTAGTGTGGTGTCCAGTGTGTATTGTAACGTAGTGTGGTGTGCAGTGTGTGTATTGTAACGCAGTGTGGTGTCCAGTGTGTATTGTAACGTAGTGTGGTGTGCAGTGTGTGTATTGTAACGCAGTGTGGTGTCCAGTGTGTATTGTAACGCAGTGTGGTGTCCTGTGTGTATTGTTACGTAGTGTGGTGTGCAGTGTGTGTATTGTAACGTAGTGTGGTGTCCAGTGTGCATTGTAACGTAGTGTGGTGTGCAGTGTGTGCATTGTAACGCAGTGTTGTGTCCAGTGTGTGTATTGTAACGTAGTTTGGTGTCCAGTGTGTATTGTAACACAGTGTGATGTCTAGTGGGTGTTGTAACGTAGTGTGGTGTCCAGTGTGTATTGTAACGTCATGTGGTGTCCAGTGTGTATTGTAACGTAGTGTGGTGTCCAGTGTGTATTGTAACGTAGTGTGGTTTGCAGTGTGTGTATTGTAACGCAGTGTGGTGTCCAGTGTGTATTGTAACGTAGTGTGGTGTGCAGTGTGTGTATTGTAACGCAGTGTGGTGTCCAGTGTGTATTGTAACGCAGTGTGGTGTCCTGTGTGTATTGTTACGTAGTGTGGTGTGCAGTGTGTGTATTGTAACGTAGTGTGGTGTCCAGTGTGCATTGTAACGTAGTGTGGTGTGCAGTGTGTGTATTGTAACGCAGTGTGGTGTCCAGTGTGTGTATTGTAACGTAGTGTGGTGTGCAGTGTGTATTGTAACGTAGTGTGGTGTGCAGTGTGTGTATTGTAACGCAGTGTGGTGTCCAGTGTGTGTATTGTAACTTAGTGTGGTGTCCAGTGTGTATTGTAACACATTGTGATGTCTAGTGGGTGTTGTAACGTAGTGTGGTGTCCAGTGTGTATTGTAACGTCATGTGGTGTCCAGTGTGTATTGTAACGTAGTGTGATGTCCAGTGTGTATTGTAACGTAGTGTGGTGTGCAGTGTGTGTATTGTAACGCAGTGTGGTGTCCAGTGTGTATTGTAACGTAGTGTGGTGTGCAGTGTGTGTATTGTAACGCAGTGTGGTGTCCAGTGTGTATTGTAACGCAGTGTGGTGTCCTGTGTGTATTGTTACGTAGTGTGGTGTGCAGTGTGTGTATTGTAACGTAGTGTGGTGTCCAGTGTGCATTGTAACGTAGTGTGGTGTGCAGTGTGTGTATTGTAACGTAGTGTGGTGTGCAGTGTGTGTATTGTAACGCAGTGTGGTGTCCAGTGTGTATTGTAACGCAGTGTGGTGTCCTGTGTGTATTGTTACGTAGTGTGGTGTGCAGTGTGTGTATTGTAACGTAGTGTGGTGTCCAGTGTGCATTGTAACGTAGTGTGGTGTGCAGTGTGTGTATTGTAACGCAGTGTGGTGTCCAGTGTGTGTATTGTAACGTAGTGTGGTGTGCAGTGTGTGTATTGTAAGGCAGTGTGGTGTCCAGTGTGTATTGTAACGTAGTGTGGTGTCCAGTGAGTGTATTGTAACGTAGTGTGGTGTCCAGTGTGTGTATTGTAACGTAGTGTGGTGTGGAGTGTGTTTATTGTAACGTAGTGTGGTGTCCAGTGTGTATTGTAACGTAGTGTGGTGTCCAGTGTGTGTATTATTACGAAGTGTGGTGTCCAGTGTGTATTGTAACGTAGTGCGGTGTCTAGTGTGTATTGTTACGTAGTGTGGAGAAGCAGAATCACCTCGGGTCTTTGAGGACACATCTCCACATACTGTCAGGTGGAGATGTGTTCATGACGTAAAACACTCCTCAAACAACGAACAGCGAAAATGTCTGAAAAGATTTCCGAAACATTCTCACACGTGGACTCAGTGTTGACTGCATTCCAGAACCAGTTGAAGTACTTAAAGGTAGTCACTACTTGTGTAACAGGCGCTTGTGCTGGGGAGCACACACAACAGATACCCTGTTGGAAACCGCTTCGACTGCGAGACTGGTTTGACGGTTCTTTATCATGTGCGCATTGAGGCCTGTTTATATCGAAAGTAAAGATTAATATCTAGTAAAGCGTAACATTGTCAAACAAACAATCTAGTACGGACAAGCTGAAAAGCTCAGGTAATAGTTCGAGTGCGAAATTAGCATTAGGTGGAAGCGGTCGTAAAATTTCGTTATATCTATCAATCGGGCCAATTAATTTTGTGATAGATTAATATATCAGTTTAGAAGATTAACCTAATTAAACTGGCCCACTAATTTCAGGGCCTTGTTCTTC